GTATGAATAGAGTGAGGAGATGTGGATGGGGTGAGGAGGTGAGAATGAGGTAAGGAAGTGTAGATGAAGTGAGGAGGTGTGGATGGGGTGAGGAGGTGAGAATGAGGTGAGGATGTCTTGAGGAGGTGAAGATGCTGTCAGGAGGTATAGATGGGCCAAGGAGGTGTGGATAAGGGGTGAATCACGGGGCGCAGCCTTGATTAGAGAGGGGAGCACTTCACTAGACTCTCCTGCCTCTCTGCTCACAGGGTCCCTTCACAGCCCCTTCTCCCACTCCCAGGTACCGGGATTACCGGAACAAGGTGGATTACAGCTACTCCAGTGAGTTCTGGTTCCTGCTCGCGTCCAGGCTAGCCTTTGTCATTCTCTTTGAGGTGAGATCCAGTTGCAGGGGTAAGGGGGAGGGAGGGAGGCCTGCCTGGTGAGGCTCCGGGCCTCAGACTCCCCTAATGAGCCCCTCTCACCCCTCAGCATGTGGCATTGTGCGGCAAGATCATCGCTGCCTGGTTTGTCCCTGACATCCCCCAGTCTGTGAAAAACAGAGTCCTTGAGGAAAAATTTGAGAATCTGTGTAAGAAACTACGGTATGAGAAGGTGCTCCCAACTCCCCCTCTGGCCCCTCCCCTGGGGTGCCCTAAGGGGGAGGGGTGCTCCCAACCTGCCCTCCTGGCCCCTCCCAAGGGTTCACTTGCCCTCCCTCTGGGAGTTGGGGGGGAGGGGCGCCCAATTCTGAGAACACTCCCTGGGGCTTCCTTTCTTCCTTTGAAGGAGATACTGGACCTAAGCAGAGTAGTTGGGTGTCTCCAATCTGATTCTCCCTCCTCCTTATCCTCTCTTTCTTTTCTCTCCTCCACAGCCTCAGCTCCAGGGTCACTGATGTGTAGAGAGGCTGGAAGGAGCAGAAACACCTAAGGTGGCCCAAAGCAGCCTCTGTCCAGCCTGGATGCTGTATGACCTCTGAGCCCCCAGGGCTCCAGCGATTTCCTCTGCATCCTCTCTGCCCCTGGGGTACTGGGAGATGGGGTAGCAGTATTGGAAGGATAGGGGAGCCCTCTGTGTGTCCCTCCTTCCTTTGTGAACAAGCCCTTAGCCCGTCAACCTGGTCCCTGGATCTGATCAGGAGCACCTGAATGGAATTTCTGCCCAGCTACACACTCTTTCAGACCCAAACTTCAGGGCTGCCCTTTGTCCAGACAGCCTGTCTTCCCTGGAAGGACTGAGGCAGGGCTGGGTGAATCTTCCTATATATTGCCTCAGTGGGTAATAAAATGATTTTTTAAGTGTGGTTCCAAGTGTGATATGGGGGGCCCGGAAAGAGATCCATTCTTCACAGCAGGCTGGATTCCCAGAGCAGGACTACCTTCTTCTCCCCTCTTGAGTTTTCAGGAACCCTGAGGGGAACTGAGTTTTTTCCTAGTACAAGCCCCCAGCAGGTATGGTTCCTCATTGATTATGAGTCAATATTAATTAGCCAGCTAGATTTAGCCTTTAGAAAGATATTTACTAAAGTGGGAGGGTAAGAACAGTTGGTAGAAAACTCTGCCTCCCTCCCCTAGCTGGGGTCACCCTCTCCCACAAATCCACACAGAGTTCAGGGGATGTTGTAAGAGTGTCCCCATCCACTGCCCTCCCAGAGGCTAATTGAGAGTCAGGAACCTTCCTCCAATGAGCCTCCCCTCCACCCCATCTTATGGGCAGTCACCTTGGGTCCCCACTTAACAAACTTCTATTGAACACCTACTGCGTGATGTTGAGCCTGGAGAAAGGGATGGACAGAGTCTCTGCCCTCGGGAAGCCCAGGGTCTAGAAGACAGAGGCACATCCAGATGATGGGGGCTCTCAGAAAAGAGAGAGACCCTTGAATGAAGCATCCCTGGAATGGAACCTGGAAGCCTGTGCCCTGGGCTGGAGACAGGGTTAGGGATCACAAATGTCCATTTTGGGAGGGAACAAAGCTGGAAGGGTCAGCTGAGGCAGATGGCCACTGACCTGGAGGGCCAAGAATTTGTTGTTTCTTCTAGAGATGATAGAGAGCCACCAAGGCTTCTTGAGTGAGAGAATGGCAGGGTCAGGGGCCTTCATAGCCTCGTGAAACACTAGGGGCAGGAATATGAAAATGGCAGTGGCTGCCTTCCAGGAGCTTACAATCTAATGGGGAGGGCAAGGTGCCAGATGAGGGCAGTCAGGTGGAGAAGGAAGACATGGCCAGCCTGAAAGCGTTCTACATGGAAACCTTGAGAGGTGCCCTCTGCCTACCCTGAGGAAAGACCTGGAGGGCACTTGCAGCCTGAAGCCTGGAGCTGGGAGCCAGGAGCCAGACCAGGCTCCACCCCTCTGCCCCTCAATCTCCACCAATGAGGAGAGCCCTATGCAAATGACCCTGAGCTCTGGATTACTGGGAAATGGAGAAAGGTCTGGTGAGGGAGGTGCACCGGGAAGGGGGGCAGCCACTGCCAGGGTGGGAAAGGATTCAGAAGACAAGCAAGTTTAAAACGATACTAATAACTAGCACTAACATATCTTTATAATACACTTTATTTTTTTTAATTTTAATTTTAATTTTTAACAAGTGTTTTTAAAACTTTGGGTTACAATTTTTCTCCTTTCCTCCTTCCCCACCCACCCTCATTGAAAAGGCAAGCATCTCGATACAGGTTATAGATGTGTAGTCATGCAAAACACTTCCATAGTAGTCATGTTGTGAAAAACTAAGTATATTTCCCTTCATCCTATCCTACCCCCCCATTTATTCTATTCTCTCTTTTGACCCTGTCCCTTCTCACAAGTGTTTACTTCTGATTATCCCCTCCCCCAATCTGCTCTTCCCCTCTATCAATCCCCTACTCTCTTGTCCCCTTCCCCCTTTATTTTCCTGTAGGGTAGGATAGATTTCCATATCCCATTGTGTATATCATTCCCTCCTTAAGCCAAATCCTTTGAGAATAAGATTCACTCATTCCCTCTCCCCTTCCCCCATTTCCCCTACCCTGTAAAAGCCTTTTCTTGTCTGTTTCATGTGAGATATTTTACCTCATTCTACTTCTCCCTTTCTCCTTCTCCCACCTCTTAATTTTATTTTCCAGATATCACCCCTTCATCTTCAACTCACCCTGTGTCCTCTATCTATCTATCTATACAAACATTTAATTTTTCCCCTCCCACTACCCTAATACTGACAAAGGACTCATAAGTTACAAATATCATCTTTCCCTGCAGGAATGTAAACAGTCCAACCTTAATAAGTCTCTTATGATTTCTCTTTCCTGTTTACCTCTTCCATGTTTCACTTGAGTCTTGTATTTGAAGGTCAAATTTTCTATTCAGCTCTGGTTTTTTCCACAAGAATACTTAAAAGTCCTCTATTTCATTGAATTACCATTTTTTACCCTGAAGGATTATACTCAGTTTTGCTGGGTAGGTGATTCTATGTTGTAGTCCTAATTCCTTTGCCCTCCAGAATATCATACTCCATGCCCTCCAGACCCTTAATGTAGAAGCTGCTAAATCTTGTGTTATCCTGATTGTGTTTCCACAATACTTGAATTGTTTCCTTCTGGCTGCTTGCAATATCTTCTCCTTGACCTGGGAATTCTGGAATTTGGCTACAGCATTCCTAGGAGTTTTCCTTTGAGGATCTCTTTCAGGAGGTGATCGGTGGATTCTTTCAATTTCTATTTTGCCCTCTTATTCTAAAATATCAGAGCAGTTTTCCTTGATAATTTCTTGAAAGATGATGTCTAGGCTCTTTTTTTGATCATGGCTTTCAGATAGTCCAATAATTTTTAAGTTCTCTCTCCTGGATCTATTTTCCAGGTCAGTTGTTTTTCCAATGAGATATTTCACATTCTCTTCTATTTTTTCATTCCTTTTGATTAGTGTTACAGTGCCTTGATTTCTCAAATTGTCCCTATCTTCCAATTTCTCCATTCTAAGTTTTAAGGAAGTATGTTCTTCAGTAAGCTTTTGGACTTCCTTTTCCATTTGGCTAAGTTTGCTTTTAAGGGCATTCTTCTCCTCATTGGCTTTTTGGACCTCTTTTGCCGGTTGGGTTAGGCTATTTTTTAAGGCGTTATTTTCTTCAGTATTTTTTTGGGTCTCCTTTAGCATCACTCTCAGTTTTTCCTCTACTTCTCATACTTGCTTCTCAAAAGCCTTTTTGAGCTCTTCCATGGCCTGGGACCAATTCATATTTTTCTTGGAGACTTTGGATGTAGGAGTTTGGCTTCGTTGTCTTCTTCTGGTTGTATGTTTTGATCTTCTTTGTCATCAAAGTAAGATAAAATAGTCTGACTCTTTTGCACTGCTTGCTCATGATCCTGGCCAATTACTTGAGTTACAAACTCTTTGTTAAGGTAGGAATCTGTTTCCAGTGTGGAGAATGTACTGTCTCAAGCTTCACGGGTTTTCTGCAGCTGTGTTCAGAGATACTTCTAGGGACTTCTAAATTTTCAGTTCTTCCAAGGTGCTATGATCAAGGGCAAGGTGTTTACTCCTTTCCTGGCCCATGCTCTGGTCTATGAGAACTCTTTTTTGTCTTGGAACTGTAAGGAGGGTTTCCTCTGCACAGCCACTACAAGCTCCACCACACCAGTGCTCCTCCTTGCCCCAGGAATGCCACCCAGAACTTTGACCCAAATCCAAGCACGGGCAAAGCAAGAGAATCCTGCACCAGCAGAGAGATCCCTGCAATCCCCCTATGATCAGCCACTCGATTCCCTCTTAGTCTGTGGGCCAGAAGCTCAGGAGGCAGCTGCCGTCCCCACCGAGCTCGGGGACTGGAACTGAGATCACTGGGTTCTCTCTCTCCCTGCTGACACAGACTTTTCCCACTGATCTTCCAAGTTGTCTTTGGTGTTCATGGGTTGAGAAGTCTGGAAACCGCCACAGCTGCCTGCAATTCAGACCTCTGAGGCCTGCTCCAGGGTTGGCCTGTGCGCCCACGCCAAACTGCGCTCCTCTCCCATCCTGGCGTGATATACCTTTCCGATCGATCATCCAGGCTGTCTTGGGCTGGAAATTTGTTTTGCTCTGTATTTTTGTGGGTTCTGCTGCTTTAAAATTTGTTTAGAGTCATTTTTTATAGGTATTTGGAGGGGTTTGGGGGAGCGCTCAAGCAAGTCACTGCTTTTCCTCCACCATCTTGGCTCTGCCTCCATCCTCTATAATACACTTTACAAAGAGTATCTATTTGATCCTCACAAGCACCCTAGGAGGCAGTTGCTATTATTACTGTTTGCATTGTACAGAAGAGAAAATTGAGGCAGAGGAGAAGTGACCTGCCCAGGGTCACCCAGCTAGTTTTATCTGAGGTCAGTTTTGAACCCAGATCTTCCTGCCTCCAGACCTAGTGATCTGTGCACTGTGGCACCACCAAGCAATCTTCAGCTTGCAGCAGAAGAGTCAGTTGAAGGAACTGGGAAGAGAAGACCGAGGCAGGGGCATGAGAGCTGTGTTGAAAAGGCTGTCCTGTGGAAGAGAGATGAGCCTCATTTGGCCTCACCCTAGTGGGCAGAAGCGAGAGTCCCAGGCAGAACAAGTCAAAGGGCCGCTTTAGGCTGGATAAGGGCTGGCCTAGTCTGGAGAGGCCATCTTGGGCTGTGGCAGACTCCTGACCTCCCTAGGGGTTCCCCTTGTCAGAGACGTTTGTGGAGGGGATTCCTGGAAGGCCTGAGTGGCCCTGAGGCTCTCTCTGGCTCAGAGATTCCAGGAGAGATGGAGGCTGCCTAGTCCGGATACCAGGGACACAAGATCCTGCCAGAGCTTACAGTCTAACCCAGCAAAGCAACATGTGTAAACATACATTTATAGGAAGGGACTACAAAATGTTATGAGGCGATCGAGGTGGGGCTGGGCCTTGCAGGAACCAGCAAGAGTAGTAAGAAGAAGACCTCAGGAGGGAGCACATGTCACTGCCTCTTGTGGACATGGCCCCAGACTGGTTACACCACACATGAGTGAGCAGTGCAAAGACATGGAGGTGGGAAATTTGTGCCTTGGAGAAGGAACAGTAAGGCCATTTTGGTGGGGTGTGGTGCATGTGTAATAAGGCTAGGCAGGGAGGTTGGGAGCAGGCCTTTAAACGCTGAACTGTGGAGGGTGAATTTGGTCTTGGGGGCGGTAGGGAGTCACTGAAGCTTGAGAAGGGAAGTTACAGTCGGGGTTGCACTCTCATTTTCGTGGTTGTGTGGAGCCATCTTTGATGATGGCCTGCTTGAGGATGGAGAGAAGGCAAAGGCTATCCGGGGTTAGATTCCCTAGCTCTGAGGTAGATTCGAGAAGACTTGA